CGGCGTCGGGGGGCCGGGTCTGAGTTCTTGGGGAAGCACACAGAGGAGGAGGATCCGGAGAGACGGACGAGTATGTACAGCGCGGCCCGGCGGCCTCTGGGGGGCGCAGGCGGCTTCAGGTGGGGAGCTTGGGTTCGATGCGGAGGGAGGCCTCGTAGAGACTCTCCTCGTCCATCACGAAGGACCGGTCCAGCAGGTACTGGGTGACCTGAGGGCGGGCAGGAGAGGGGGAGGGGGTGTAACCCATGACGGTGGGCACCGGGGTCTCCCGGGAGACACGCACTCCTGGGAGGCACCCGTAGCTGAAAGGGGTGAAGCGGGGTTTTGTCTTATTAATATTACTAGGGGCCCGGTGCACGAAATTCGGGCAAGAGCAGGCCTTCCTTCCCCCAGCTGCCGGCACCGGCTTCCCTCCGGTCCCCGCTTTGCCCGGAAGGACATCCGGAGTGACGTCTGGTCTAATTAGCATATTACCCTTTTATTATTATAGATCTGCCATTGTTTGTCCTCACCCGAGTCTACGTTTTCCATGGATTGATTTTCAGAGTGAGTGTGAGGGAGCGGGCGAGACAGAGAGAGAGAGACATCGATGTGAGAGGGACGCCTTGGCTGGCTGCCTCCTGCCTGGGCCCCAACCGGCGCCGGGGATGGAGCCTGCAACCAGGGCGCGCACCCTTGACCGGAACCAAACCCGCGACCCTTCAGTCCGCGGTCCGGTGCTCTAACCACTGGACAGCACTGGCCGGCTGGGACTCTGCTGATTGCTCCCTTAGAAAAACCACCTCTTGGCCGGGCCGGTGGCACAATGGTTAGCGCACCAGCCTGCACACTGAAGGGTCCGTTCTTGGTCAAGGCGTGTCCCTGGTTTGCAGGTGTGACCCCTGGCCGGGGTCAGTATGTGTGTCTGGCAACCAATCCATGTGTCTCTCTCACCAATGTCTCTTTCTCTCTCTTCCCCGGCCCTCCCTCTTGCTCTCTCTAAGGATCAATGGGAACAATGCCGTCCAGTGAGGATTAACAATAAAAATCAAATACATCGGGTCTCCTGGGTGCGTCCGGCTGGCTGCCGGGGAAGGGCTGGAGCCCGAGGTCTCGTGGGCTGGTCACCAGCCACCGATGAGCCGCTGGGGGCTCCCACCGGCCCCTGCATTGCAGGGAGCTCAGATGGGGTCTGGTGAACCCGTAGCCCCTGGGAAAGACGGGGTGGGGCGCCTCCCGGCCCAGAGGCAGGCTCGTCTTTCACGCCTCCCGGGTAGCTTCTGGGAACGGCCCTGCACGGAGCACAGAGGTCTGCACCCTCCCAACCCCTCCTCCATAGCGAGCTGGCTCAAGGTCAAATCGCCTTCCAGGTCACGTGCCTCAGGGTCGTCTCCTGCTTGGGTCCTGCTTTAGGGGGTGACAGTCGAAGCTGCCGGTGGAGGGTCTGAGAGCAGGGAGGGTCCCTGGCATCGCCGACGGGGCTCGCAGGAGAGTGTAAGGCAAGGGGCCCAGGCCCAACGCCGAGCCTGGCACACAGCAGGTGCTCAGTAAATGCTGGCCTAAGAGAATGAATGAATGCAGAGCCAGGGAGATGTTACCCAATGGTTAGACCAGCGACATTCGGCTGGTGGGGGCCGCAGGAATTTTTAAGCCCGGCCAGGGTGGCTTAGTGGTAGAGCATCAACCTGTGAACCAGGATTCGATTCCAGTCAAGGGCACAGGCCCGGGTTGCGGGCTCCATGCCCAGTGGGGGTGGGGGGTGGCGTGCAGGAGGCAGCCGGTCCATGATCCTCTCTCATCGTGGATGTTTCTAACTCTCTCTCTCCTCCCTTCCTCTCTGAAATCGATTTTAAAAAATATTAAAAAAACCCACAAAAACCAAACCAAACAGACGTGATGTCGCCCCTTACCTTCGCCTGGTGCTCTATCTTGTAGGCGGTTTGCTGGAACTGGCGAATCTCTCGGATAATGTGGGATATCTGCGGGGAGGAAGGGGGTGCTGGAGGGAGACAGGCTCCCCTCTCAGTGCCACCCCCACTCCGCAGGGCAGACAGGCACCCCCACTCCCCAGGGCAGACGGGCATCCCCACTCCCCAGGGCAGACGGGCATCCCCACTCCCCAGGGCAGACGGGCATCCCCACTCCCCAGGGCAGACGGGCATCCCCACTCCCCAGGGCAGACGGGCATCCCCACTCCCCAGGGCAGACGGGCATCCCCACTCCCCAGGGCAGACGGGCATCCCCACTCCCCAGGGCAGACGGGCATCCCCACTCCCCAGGGCAGACGGGCATCCCCACTCCCCAGGGCAGACGGGCATCCCCACTCCCCAGGGCAGACGGGCATCCCCACTCCCCAGGGCAGACGGGCATCCCCACTCCCCAGGGCAGACGGGCATCCCCACTCCCCAGGGCAGACGGGCATCCCCACTCCCCAGGGCAGACGGGCATCCCCACTCCCCAGGGCAGACGGGCATCCCCACTCCCCAGGGCAGACGGGCATCCCCACTCCCCAGGGCAGACGGGCATCCCCACTCCCCAGGGCAGACGGGCATCCCCACTCCCCAGGGCAGACGGGCATCCCCACTCCCCAGGGCAGACGGGCATCCCCACTCCCCAGGGCAGACGGGCATCCCCACTCCCCAGGGCAGACGGGCATCCCCACTCCCCAGGGCAGACGGGCATCCCCACTCCCCAGGGCAGACGGGCATCCCCACTCCCCAGGGCAGACGGGCATCCCCACTCCCCAGGGCAGACGGGCATCCCCACTCCCCAGGGCAGACGGGCATCCCCACTCCCCAGGGCAGACGGGCATCCCCACTCCCCAGGGCAGACGGGCATCCCCACTCCCCAGGGCAGACGGGCATCCCCACTCCCCAGGGCAGACGGGCATCCCCACTCCCCAGGGCAGACAGGCACCCCCACTCCCCAGGGCAGACAGGCAGATGGGCACCCCCACTCCCCAGGGCAGACGAGCACCCCCACTCCACAGGGCAGATGGGCACCCCACTCCCCAGTGCAGACAGGCAGATGGGCACCCTTGCTCCCCAGGGCAGACAGGCAGATGGGCACCCCCACTCCCCAGGGCAGACGAGCACCCCCACTCCACAGGGCAGATGGGCACCCCACTCCCCAGTGCAGACAGGCAGATGGGCACCCTCGCTCCCCAGGGCAGACAGGCAGACGGGCACCCCCACTCCCCAGGGCAGACGGGCACCCCCACTCCACAGGGCAGACAGGCACCCCACTCCACAGGGCAGACGGGCACCCCAATTCCCCAGGGCAGACAGGCACCTCCATTTCCCAGGGCAGACAAGCACCCCCACCCTGAAGGGCAGATGGGCACCCCACTCCCCAGGGCAGACCAGCAGCCACAGCCCAGGCTGCAGGCAGCATCCTGGCCACGGTTCAAGGCCTCCGCCTCCCTCCGTCCTGAGGGCCTACTGTGTGCAGGCTCCCAAGAGGCCCCTCTATTAAGCGGGGAGCCCGATACAGGCGGGGGCTCCAGCGGGGAGGGC